CATTAGCACCTCTAGTAATATATTTACTGAGAAAAATGCTGACGTGTTCAATACTTATTTTACCCGCTGTATACGTATTCATATAAATTGTTGTTCTAGAAGGATCTGACTGTTTTGTTTTTGTTAATTGAAGATTTTTGTTTAAGTTTATACTTGAGAAAAAAATGAGCAGATATAAGATTTTTTTCTTCTCTCTGCTGCCTTTCATTTCATTGTATTTGAGTTTTCTTTTTATTGTACATGTGTTAATTTTGTTTTAAAGAAATTAGTTATGCTTTTAAAATAAATTAAAAATAAATTTCCACGTGTTTTATGTGTGTATTCATGTTGTGTGCTGCATGTTTCCATAAGCTTTCCAAACAGAACAATACATTTTGACAGCATTTATGTTTAATTATTTCCATATATTTATTAATACAGGAAGGGTTAAAAACTGGTTTGTTGTTGGTGAATTATTTTTKAAAATATGRATGTTGTGCTCGTTCCTTTTCCTGTTTGTGCAGAGGGATCTGATTGACTCGGAGCAGCTCTGGCCTCCAGCAGAAACAGGATTAAATGAATGGACGTGTGCAGCCTCGTGTATTATATATTATACAGGTGTGTACATGAGGTGTTGTGAATCAGACCAGGGTGTSGTAAARACGCCTTGATGCTCGTCTAGCTAAATGTCTGGTTGGGGGTCATGGACCCTGGTAGTGTCTTCTGAGGCAGACTGGTCCAATAACAGTCCAAACACAGAGTGCACCGGGTCCACAGTGACATGGACTCTGACCCTGACTTACCAGAGCTGCCARTCAACCTGCATCCTTTATTAAATAAAATCCTTGTTTCTGATGTAAGTTAATCCTTACATCAGCTTACCTCAGACACTTGATACTGACACGTCAGCTTCTTTCCTTTCACACTTTCATTCAGGGTCAGAATGAAACCCATGTAGTCCGAGTACGCCTGAGACAAAAACACACGGAGTCAGAACTAAACTTGAACCAGGTGAGTACGTACTGTTTTAATGTTTTCACAGAGACTAAATCAGAGCCTCGGTTTGAAGAGCTTTATTTTGAAAGTCCAGCAGAGACACTCTCAGAGTGAAGGAGACGAGTTGTGTCTCGAGTCGTGTTTGAGACAAAATATTTTAAAGACCTGAAGAGGAACCAACCTGAGAGCGTTTCCACTTCCCCATGTCAGGAACCATGCTGATCTCCTTCCTGGGGATGACGAAGGTCCTGRCGTCAGCTGCTTCATCTTCACATCAGGACGAAAGGTTTGAGAGTTAAAAATAGGAACATCCCAGGCAAACATGGTTTTAATGATTAATTTAATTTAATTACAAGCTCCATCAAACAATAAGAGATAAAAAGGTAAAATATCGATTTATAATTTAAATAAATAAACTCAGTTCAGGAATATTTATCATGTTTGCTCAACAAATCCATCTTATTTTCTCTTCCCTGTGTCTCAGCATTATAATGTGTTTATAAAATATTCAGTTTTTCCAACATTAAATCTGTAAAATTCTGCGATTTATCTTTACAAATTAAACCTTAAATAAAAACACGTATAATTATTTAACAAGAGGTAAACACAAACAAAACGTTACTAAATGTATTAAAATAAAAAACTTGTGAAAATGAAGACATTTCATCACGTTAACTTTAACCTCCTTTAAATGAGTTTATGTTTGGTTTAATTAAACTCTGACTCTCATTACCGCGTTAATAAACTCATGAAATATTTAGTTCAGACGCGTTTTTAACACCTGAGTCAAATATTAGTTTAGAAAGAGCAGAAACATCTGAAACTTACCTGCCTGCTGCTCTGCTTCCGCCATGGCGAGGCTTCGTCTTCTTCGTGGGTTTTAATCAGGTGAGTTCACCGCCTCCCGCGCTCTCTGCTGCCGCCGGGCGGTGGAGGRATGTCATTACCGCTGTCTGCTGTTTCTCTGAACTTATTTAAATAATTTATAACTCCAGCAGCGTGCAGAGTGAGTCATCAGCTACAAAACTGTTACATTTTTTAAATATATATTTTCAMCATATTTTAGTCTTAAAATGAATCTTATCTTAAATAAATCTGCATCCATAATCCAGTCCTTTCACTTCTGAAAGCTCTTTACTGTAAACTAGTT